AAAGATTTAAAACCATGTGTTTTTTTATGTGAACATAATAAAAAAGGAAAGAAGTGAGAAAAATGATGGAAGGAACGCATAAGGAAAGGTTTACGATTACATAAGGAAAGGTTTACGATTATTAAATCTTATTATAATATTATATTTATAATAATTATAAAATGGCCAAAAGGTAAGTTAATAATTGTGAAGTTAAAATGGTAAGTGGCTGAAATTGTGAAATTATAATTATTAAAAAAAGGTATAAATATAATAATTAACGTATTGAAAATTAGAACTTATTAAAAAAGGTAAGTTAATAATTGTAGTGGCCGAAATTGTAGTAATACTTATTATAATTATTATATTTATAATAATTATAAAATGGCCAAAAGGTAAGTAAATAATTGTGATGTTAAAATGGTAAGTGGATGAAATTGTGGATTTAAAATTATTAAAAAAGGTATAAATATAATAATAGCTATTATTTTTATAATAATTAATGTGAGTAATATAAAAAGGTAAGTTATACAAATCCAAAGCGTATGTTTTTAATATAGGTAAGTTATACAAATGCAAAGAGTAAGTTTTTGAAAATTGGAAATAATTAAAAAGGGTAAGTTATACAATTATACATCCAGTTATACAATTATACATCCACAAATTGTACAATAATGTAGTCTATAAAGAAGTCTTTTGAATTTTGTAAAACAATGATGTTTTTAACCTTAAAATAATATAATCTCTATATTTTATTGCATCTCATTTTTATCATTGAAAAATAATTTGAATTTAATAACATAAAAATGACCCGTGCAACGCATGGGTGTGATACTAGTTTTCTATAATTGAGATTTAAAGTATGTTACTCCCTCCATCCCAAAATAAATTGCATGTATACTATTCACATGGTCAAATTTTATTGACTTTCTTTTTCTATTTTAATTTTGTTGGTCATTTGATAAAATAATATATCATGTCACCATTAGTTTTGAAGAATTTTTGACGTAGTTTTTAAATATGTAATTTTTATTTTTTAATTCTACATCATTTTTATATAAAATGATTTGAAAATAAAATCAGCCACATATCGTAAACTAAAACAAACAATTTAAATGAGAAATCATTTCCATATTCTTCCAACTCAAGATGCTTTAGAGATGATAAATCACACCCTTTTTATAGGCCTAGGTTAGCACTAAGCTACAAACTAATTAATTAAATGAAAATTACAAATATTAATTAAAATCCTATCAAATATTATTGAAAGATCTTCCAAAATATTTGCCATTCAACCACCAAGAGTTTCCAAGTGAGATTAGTCTATTTCATCCATTCTTGTTCCCTAAATACCATGCAATGATAATGGTAAATACCCTAGGTGAAATCCTCCATATTGAATCAGAATAATCTCCTTTGAAATTTTTCTCAAACAATATCAATCATAAGGGTCAATGTGATGTCCTGATTTGGAAGATTGCATCCAACATAACAAATAATGGGTGGTTAGGGTTAGATAGGATATTTAGTGGAGATTTTCGCACCCTGACCACCTTGGAATGGTCGATCATGCATCTGTCATGGTCCAATAGGTGGACTGTTTTGTTCTTCATCGAATATGTTCAGAATGGTTTTTCAAAACTGTAACACTTTAATCTATCTAGTTCTGCAGCCTCTTTCGTACTAAACTATAAATTTGGTAATCGTAAAATTTAAAATATTTCAAACACTTTTATTTATAACAATAATATTATTCATAACAGGAACAGTATGGTGTTTTCAATGTTGCGGAAACTGAACAAATCACAATCATGAAACATAATTAATTAATTTATTTCTTTTGAAATAATAATTCAAAACTACCACATCCTTACTGACAATCTCGCCTCCGTCTACCGCCAAGATCATGCCACATCATTTTTTTCTATTTACCTGCGTGTAACAAATAAAACATACTACACACTCATCATTGAAGCTGAGGAAGGATATCTAATGCATCGAACATCACATAAATTGAATCTCAAGTCAAATCATTTGATATTATGCACATAATATTCAATTCAGATATTCAATGATCATGACATTGATGATGTTCAATTCATATCAGATCATTTAATGGGGTAATAGCATGGTGCCCCTCGTGGTTTACAAAAGCAGTGCCAAAATCCTCTCTATTTTCAAAACTTATTTGTAAAATCCATGTGGTTTTTAAATAGTGCAGAGATCTTGCCTATTTGTATTTTTTGTTATACAAATAAATAAAATATATGGCCTCTTTCAAAAAAATAAGTTTCTCATACAAATAAATAAAATATACACCCTCTTTCTCATATTAAAAATATACGCCTACTTTCAAAAAAATAATTTTTTTAGAAAATGTTTCAAAAAAAATGAAAAATTAAAAAATGAAATAAGATACACCTTTTCATTATAAGTAAAAGTAAAATAAATAAATTAAAAAATTAGATAATATAAACTCACTCTATCACTCTATCTCTAATTAAAAGTTCTAACGTATTTGTTTTTTAAAAGTAAATTAATTTTTTAAGGACTTTAAAAAATGAAGAACAAAAATATGAAATAAAATATGGAGTTAAAGAAAAAGATTTTTTTTATATTCTTAAAAACATAAATTTTAATATTAATTTTTTTTTTAAAAAGTAAATTTGCCTAAAACAATCTCATCTTTCATTTATTTGCCAGAAACAAACATTTTTCAAAAATCTTGTTAAGTAACCGTTAGCATTTTAGCAGCATCTCAAAACGCGCACATATTTGGAAATGTGAAATTATTTCCAATGATAATAAAAAGTGAAATAATTTTTGAAAAAACGTGAAAAAATGGGATAATTTAAGGAAATTTTACCTATCGAGTTTAGGTTAGCAAGGAAGGATTATCTTTTTAAAAAAGAATCCCGTGATTGAGGCGACTAATTAGCGATTTTGTCATAAAGCTCATAATGACCATCCTCTCCCTTTTCTTCTTTCGGTCTTTCTTACCATAACACATTTCCACATGCTCAGTCACTTTCCACCTTTTTCTTTCAAAAAATTTCATAAACAGAGTAAATATACAGTATGCAGCAAAAAATTATACTCCGTACTATAGTCAAGTCCATGATCTTCCTTCTCATTCAATATTAATTCATTCATCAAACTCTGCGTGAGAGTTTAATCAATTAACAAAAAACATGGCCACTTTGGCGGACATTGGTGTATCAGCGTTGATAAACATAGTGGGCGCCTTTGTGTTCTTGCTGGCGTTTGCCCTATTAAGGATTCAGCCCATCAATGACAGGGTTTACTTCCCCAAGTGGTACATTCTCAAGAAGAGAAGTGATGAGCCCAGCCAAGTTCCCAATTTGGTTGGCAGATTTATTAACCTCAATCTCAAGACTTACCTCACTTTCCTCAACTGGATGCCCCAGGCTCTGAGCATGAGTGAGCCCCAGATCATCGCTCACGCCGGGCTTGACTCTGCAGTGTTTTTGAGGATTTATACCCTCGGGTTAGTATAAATAATTCTAACCCTTCTGCTTTGTTGAGTATTGTGTAAAAAATGTCATGAAACAAACTTAATCAAAGGCTCAAGTTTGTGGTTGTATGTCAGAAAGTGTTTTCATATTCTAACAAAGCCCCGTCACGTGAAACCTTAATTTTTCAAAAACTGGGTTATGGTATGTTTCGAACTCGTAACCTCTTGGTTAACAGAACTCTGATACCATGTAAAGAATTGACTAGAACAATTCATTTGTCTTTCAGTTATCCTAGGTGTTGTTTGTGAGTAGTGACAGTTTTACTTCCCTTGCTTTCTATTAAGTTTTGGAGAGTAAATAAAGCAATGCATTAAGGCTTTAACGGAGTAAGTGTACCACACCTCTGTAGTTACACAACTACTAATATTGAGAGCATAATTAGACAATAGGTGAAAGGAGAGTAGGAGGGTGAAGTGGTGGGGCTATTGGTGAAGTTGCAGATAATTATTTATCCTTAATGAGCATCAAATGCGTAACGGAAATTGTCTCTATTTTTCACAAGGGTAAGTCGCTTATATCGTGACCTCAAACCCCAACAAACTTGCCGTTATAATGGGTTTCTTGTGGTTGTTGCTGTCGTTTTTGTTCCTTTCTGTAGAAAACATTAAGAGTCCGTTTAGCATTTAGCTTTTGCCTGTTGGGAAAGTTATCCGATTGTAGTTTTTAGGTTTAGCATTTTTTAAAGTTAACTGGCTATGTTATGATCAAAATTATCTAAAACTCTAATGTAATTGCAAACGTTGTTGTGAAAGTAGGTAGGATAAGATGGGAGGGAGGAAGTATTAGTTAGCGAAAAAGAAGGGTTAGTTCAATTAAATTCTGTGAAGTGATAGGATAATGTCTTTAGATTCATTAAAAGATGATCAATGTCTGTCTTGGAATCAACCCAAATGCCGATTAGGATGATTTATCCTCATCAACATGTCATTGGTGCTGTCATCTGGTTGAAATTTTCGAATTGTGGAAGTAATGACCTTTCTGTATTTCACAGTTTAAAAATATTTGGACCGACTGCCATTGTAGCCCTCTTGGTTCTTATCCCAGTCAATGCTTCAGGTGGAAGTCTATTTTTCCTCCGTAAGGACTTGGTTGTTAGTGAGATTGACAACTTGTCCATATCCAACATCAGCCCCAAATCTTTGAAGTAAGTTTGATTTAGTTTGTATTTGCACTATGAGTATGCTGCAATTGGTTATTCTTTGTATAAATTGTTCCCAGTTCATTACTTTCCAGCTTAGTTCATTAAATTTAATCCAAGAAGGGACCCCTTGGGGTGTTATGTTCAATTCAGTCATCTTAATTCAAATTTGTTCTACTTTCTTTGGAATTTCACACACTTACATATCTCATTTCTTTGAATGAGTATGATCATTTTCTTGTCGCACTAAAAAGAAATGTTATCGTTGATTCAGATTTTTTGTGCATTTAGCAATGGAATATCTGTTCTCATTTTGGACATGTTATATGCTGTACAAAGAGTATGGCAGAGTGGCGTCAATGAGATTCAAATTTTTGGCTTCTCGGGGCCGGCGAGTTGAACAGTTCACTGTGAGTAAAAAATAAATTCATTGGTCCGTTTTGTGAGGCAATATCTTCGACGATAAAAAAATGTAAACTTTTTTTCTCTAAATCATAAAAGGTCCATTTATGAATCTTGTACGGCTTCTGATGAACGAATATAGTTTTCAATGGGTAATCTTTATTAACACTAATGAACTCCAGGTACTCGTCAGAAATATACCACGTCAATCTGGCCACTCGATATCAGATAGTGTGGAAATGTATTTTAAGAAGACTAATCCGGATCACTATCTCTGCCATCAGGTCCGTATCAATGTGTCATATTTTCTTTTTTTTTCAAATGGTTTTTTGAGCCGATGGTCTTTCAGAAATAACCTCTCCACCTTTTATAGCTTACCTCTAATCATGTTAACATTATTAACTTATTTAGGTTGTATATGACGCGGACAACTTTGCCAAACTTGTGAGAAGGCGAAATAGGCTTCGGAATCGGTTAGACTACTACCTGATCAAGTTTGAAAGAAATCCGAAGAGCAGGCCAACCATGAAGGTGCACAGGCAGCCACAAACAACATATTCTGCTTACATTAACCGCAACTAATTCCACCCTTTACTAAACTCTTATCTTCAGATAGGTTTTCTCGGACTTTTCGGTCAAAAAGTTGATTCCATTAACTACTATAGTCAAAAAATTGGAGAGCTGGACAAAAGAGTAAGTTGTGTATATCCCATTTCTTCTGTTCTTTTCTTGTTCTGTATCTGCTTTGGGGTAATATTTTCTCTGTTTACATTTTCTTAGCTGACAATGAAGCGTGACAAGATTCTGAAAGACCCGCGCTTTATAACTCCAGCGGCTTTTGTATCATTCAGTTCAACATGGGCAGCAGCTGTTAGTGCTCAAACACAACAAAGCAGGAACCCAACACTGTGGCTAACAAATTGGGCCCCAGAACCGCGGGATATATATTGGAAGAACCTTTCCGTGTCATTTCTTTCTCTAAGCATCCGGAGATTGGTGATACCTATATCATTGTTTGCTTTAGTTTTCTTTTACATGATTCCCATTGCTTTTGTGCAATCACTTGCAAACTTGGAAGGTTTAGAAAAGGTCGCACCTTTCCTAAGGCCATTAATTGAATGGTAAGTAAATAGAAAGGCACCGTATTTGCTGTTCATAAAATCATTAGCTCCCCTTCTAATTCTAAGTGCAGCTCTTAGAGTATTATTTCACAGCTTAAATTGCCTGCGGGATAATGCAGGAAGGTCATCAAGTCTTTCCTACAGGGTTTCCTCCCCGGGCTAGCTCTTAAAGTCTTCTTGGCCGTTCTTCCAACACTTCTAATGATCATGTCAAAAGTCGAGGGGCATGTGGCTTTATCTTTGCTTGAGAGGACAACTGCAGCAAAATATTACTATTTTATGTTGGTCAATGTATTTCTTGGGAGCATTGTGGCTGGAACAGCTTTTCAGCAACTCCATGCTTTTCTTCACCAATCTGCTACACAGTAAGTGATGCACTAACCACTCATTTATCCCATAAAAGTAAAACTGAAACCTAATATCTTGCAAATTAAACACTCCCTTCTGCTCATACATTTATTATCTTTGAAGTTTACTATGTTTTCCCATGTGTTGATTACTTTGAGCCATTTGAAAATGCAGAATACCAAGAAACATTGGGGTATCAATACCCATGAAAGCTACCTTCTTTATAACGTATATAATGGTTGACGGGTGGGCTGGCATTGCCAGTGAGATTCTCAGGCTGAAACCTTTGGTCATTTTTCATCTCAAGAACATGTTCCTAGTGAAGACCGAACGGGACAGAGAAAAGGCAATGAGTCCTGGAAGTGTAAGCTTTCATGAGACTCTCCCAACTATTCAACTATACTTCCTTCTGGGTACTGTATATGCCGTGGTCACCCCAATTCTTCTTCCTTTCATACTCGTCTTCTTTGCCTTGGCCCACCTTGTGTACCGTCATCAGGTTGGCACTCATCTTATCATCACGGTTCTTTTTGGAATGAAAATAAATCGAGTGTGACAACGCTCATATTCCATCCCAACTAATTAGGCATTTGTCGTTGTGTAGGTTATTAATGTGTATGATCAGCAATATGAGAGCGCTGCTGCATTTTGGCCACATGTTCATGGTCGCATAATTGCGAGCTTAGTTATCTCTCAACTTCTTCTGATGGGTTTACTCAGCACAAAGAAGGCTGCTAAGTCCACTCCTCTGCTCATTCTGTTGCCGATTTTAACATTAGCCTTTCACAAATACTGCAAGAACAGGTTTGAGCCTGCGTTTCGACAATATCCTCTTGAGGTAATACTAATAACTTGCATTAACATTCCATAGTGAACATTTTCAATATATATAATCGGAATTCTGTTTCTGTGGTCCTAACGTGCACATGTAAAATGTGTACCTTCTCACACTTTTCTTGGGCTGACATGTGGATCTTTTGCTTTTTACAAAAGACTCAATTCTTTCATAGTTTTTATACTCTCTTTGTCCCAAAAAAGACTTCTAATTTCCTTTTTGGGATGTCCCAAAAAAGACTCCCCTTTCTATTTTTGGCAAAGTTGGTGTGGTCCAACATCTTTCTCTCTCCTCTGCATCACTTCCAACCACACAATTTTACTTTTGTCAAACTTTCTGCCAAACCCAATTGTGAGGCTTTTTTGGGACGGAGGGAGTACTAAGGCCCATATTTAAAATGAGTGTGAACCTAAAGAGCACATAAAAATTTGCCATATAATCGGTGTGTGGTCTTAAGTGGAACTTCTCCATCATCATTTCCAGGAAGCAATTGAGAAGGACATGGAGCAACGCGGGGCTGAATCAGATGGCCATTTCAAAGCACGGTTAGCCGATGCATATCTGCACCCGATTTTCCACTCTTTTGGAGAAGTTGAAATAATGGCAGAAGAGATTTACACCAAAAACCAGGATCACATCTAAAGTCCGTTTGATGAACGCATCGATCATATGTTAAAGACGAGCCATTAGGCAATGCCATGCCCTCTCCAAGATGAATATATAGGAGCAGTCTTAATAGCTAACATGGATAGATGCCATTAATTAACTTGTTTTTATCCAACTCTTTATAGGTTTTTGCTCGTAATTGGTCTTTAAGTTATATGCAAGTGCCGCCGTTCATAAAAATTTGAGGAACAGGAAAATGAGAAATTACGAGAATTGCAACGTTTTCTTTTACGAGAATTGCTAGTCATAAATGAAAAAAAAGTTGCAAAATGAACAAACATTTTACTAGTATTTGTGGATCCTTTAAAAGAATAAAATGCCCTCAAGTATTTAAAAAAGTGAAAATTAAATTTAAATTTATATCAATGCGAAGTTTAAGCATTTAAAAAAATCATGCATGCAGGGAATCAAGATACGGACATAAAAATTGACATTTTATTCTCAATTTAAAATAAAAAATGAAGTGTGGCTTAATATATTTATTTAAAACCCCAAAAAATGAATTCACATGTACTCTATTTTTTGTTAGAATAATGCTAGAGTCACAAACAATATAGACGTAAACTTGTCATTTGTGTACTTTAATTTTTTATTTTTTAATTATTTAAAATCATTTCATTGTTAACTACAAATTTTTCCCTTCCATAATTTTTATATGAAAAAAATACCAAATACTGTGTTGCTTAGTATCCCAACTTTAAATTTTGTATTCCAAAAAGGTATTCTAGTTTCAATTTGTAACAAAAATGTACCCAAAAGAACCCAAAAACCTGGTAGTCCTCATTACCTGTTAGTAATCAGGAAACCTGTTGGAATTACCTTTTTCTTACAAAACTTAAAGTTGAAATACTTTTTTATTATAAATTGAAATTAAGGTACCCTTTTGTTACAATGTTCAGAGTCGGGTACCTTCAATATAAATAAGCCACTAGTACTAAGACTCAATAAGTTTTTAAGTCAACAAGTCCCTATTTTTAAAAGGGACGATTGATGATTGTTCCGCACTGAACCTTTCTTGTCAATATGAGGGGAAGCACAACCCTCTATTTTGTCAAGAAAATATGGTTAAGATTTGTTTTGAAGAAAGAGATTTGTTAGGAGTCACATATTGCATTTTTAAAAAGAATTATAGAAAAAAAATGCTTGTGTAATATGACCGAGCATTTAGAGCAAGAAATGATAACTGATGTAAAATAACAGCAGATCATAGTTTGGCATTATACAAAAAATTCTAAAGGCAACCCCAGAACAATTTCTGAGAAGATGTATTCATCATTGCTCTAATAAAGAAAAATGGTTTGCCATGGTAGAACAATTTTTACCTAGACAGTTAAAAATGGGAACAATAACTGCAAGGGAGAAAACAAACCCCCACTCTGAAGGCAGCATGGAGTGATAGTCCAGACGATTCAACCGCGAAAGTTGAGCTTCTTCAGTACTTTTGCGTAAGCCACAGGGACCGTACCTGGTTTCCTCAGTCTACGTTTAGCACTCTTAGACTGCAGGGAGAGTGCACCAGTTAAACAACAACAACAACAAAGGGGTCGGCAGCAAATAATCCAGCACAATTTACCAAAACAAAAAAAAAGTAATAAAACATATCAAAAAGAGGGATGAGATGGATATTGACTATGAGCGTTCAAAATACTACGTTCCTAAACAAACTCCACTTTCGCTTTTTCACGGTCCATCCTTGATCGGAAATAAAAAAAGGAATGAGATGGACATTCGATGAAAAGTTAATTGTCAAACACACAAAGGTTAAAGATTATTTAGGAACGGAGTAGATGAAATTCCCAATACTACTTTAGAGGCATCAATTCCTTACAGATACTCCTTCTCCCAAGATTGAATTTTCTTTCCTTTTATGGATGTCCCCAAATTAAGTTTCCATTTCTACAAATGAAAACTTTTTAAAAAGAAGAAACCAGTTAAAGCCCCAACTTTATAGCATAAGTGATATAGGGAAAACACTGCACCACACATAAATATATGTTTGCTATCGAAAGTGATATCTTACGTTGCTAGATGGCGAGAGTAACATATTTTAAAGAAAAAAAACAAAACACCCGCTACCCCCTCCCACACTATATTTGAGCATTGGATGATTGAAGTCACAATATCATAAAAAGATAATGAGGTAATATGCAAAGTAAGACTATGGTAGACTTCTTTCTTAAGAAACAGTGCATAGATGGACCTAATGACTTTCTTTAGCATTGATTAACGGTCGAAATAACCTTTTATTTCTTTCCTTCATAACATTACCTATACTTTGAGAGATATAATGTTTGTTTGAGGCAAGTGTAATACTCTGTCTATCCTAAAACTTTCTTCTTGCATACTATTCATATGGTAAAACTTTACTCAATTTCTTTGCTTATTTTCATTACTTATTTGAAAAAATTGAATAGTCATGCCACTTCTTATTTTCTAGAACATTTGATGTAGTTTTTAAATATATAAATTTTATTTTAAAATTTTACACTTATAATAAAATAGATTTAATTGAAAATAACTTCTGTCACATCTCATAAACAGAAACAGGAAGAATGTTTTAAGACGAAGGGATTATTGTTTTTAGATATAGTATAATCGATCTAGGTTCATCGTCTAGTTTATGACTAATACTGATTGTTTATTCGTTTTGGATTCGTTAACTATTTAAATATCAATCAAATACATATACAAATCTCATTTAAAAATCATTTAATATTTGGTTTCATTTTTGCATTCGAAAAAATTTAACTAATACAAATGCAAATACTTTGCTATTTGGTTTGGTTTGCTTACAACTCCAGCCAAAGCAAGGAAATATAGAGAGGGAAAATACTATATTTTGATGAATTCATATTACAATGGCACATATTATAATACTTCTTCCGCCCAGAGTATTTTTTCTAGTTATACAATTTACGATTGAAGTAGATGAACTTTAATTTTCAATCAAATAAATATTATTTTGCATATGAGCATATCAATACATAAATGATTTCATTAAATATGTCTTACAAAGAAAATTCAAAATATTATTTCATTGTGTCTTTATGCATTATATTTTTTATTTAATTGATGATCGAAAGTTTGACCACAAAAACTCAAAGTGGACAAATATTCTTGGTACAAGATACACTAGATCAAAAAATATGTATAATAAAGGAAAAGAAATAAATTATGGCTAAATTGTGTTTGTGTGTTACCAGATAAATGTGTCTATGAGTTGTGTCATAGCTGCGTGTATAAAGTATAACTATATAGTGAAACTCAAGTGGATGCTCTATAAGACCGGATCATAAGAACACATTATGAGGGCATAGGTGTGTAGTTGATAGATGTGGGATCTTGACATTCTATCACTCTCCAAGCACTAGTCATACTACCTAAATCTCTAGTTTTACTTACACATGAATACTCAAAGGTTTACCATCAAGAAAACCATAAGCTGGGATTCCAGCTAAGCTTGAAAAAAACAGGTGGTTTCAGCTATCCATAAAGGCAATAAAGCAGTATTTCTCAATCTCAAATTTCTAACAAGTTTAGGCCACTGCCAGATTTACCACCGGCATAAATAAAAGATAACCTCAGGTAACCATTAATTCACACAATCCTATAAATTAATTCTAAAATCAACTTATCATGATAACATAGTTAAGAGTGTGGCCACACAAAGCTTCATGTTTATTTTTCTAAAACAATAAATATAGATATTGAAAAATCTCATAAGATTGTGTTTCCAAAGAGTGATACGAACTTCATCAATATAACTATGATAGTCAGACCTTTAGATGTGCATTATGGCGTTTTCCTTCTTTCCAACGCCTTATTTGACCATCATTCATCACCCTAAACCTCCCTTTAAAAGACCTAATGGAAAAATTAAGAACAAATTAGTTACCAACATTGGATGTCACACACTCACACTATCACAATACATACACGGAGAATTTCAAAAGATTTATACATACGAGTAGCCCTTGATTTTTATTTTCTTGACTTTAGATACGACTGGAGTCATTGGTTTCCTACTCTTCAACTTCCTTTTCTTTTGTTTTGCAGTAATATGCCTCACTTGCATGAACTGGCAAAAAATGGTATCCATATATATCACCATCAATAAAGAACTAGAAGCAATTCTATAAAGAATTCAGTTGGAACGCTCAAAGAGCAGATCATTACACCCTTTATTAACTGTGTGTTTCATTTCTCAAAGTGGTTCAAATATTTGAATTCAGGTCATAAAACAACTTCCAAGTACATTGATAGCTGCAAATTAAAAATTAAAAATTTAAGCTCAATTTCGCCCCCATCAAACCCTAAAAACATTTATTCTGTACAGAGCTGTATTTCAAAGTATGAATAAAGAATGAAACGTAAGAAATTCTAAGAAATCGTGAAGTTCCATTTAATCATTACTACGACCAGAAAATCAATAAATTAAGAGCCAATAACACAATCACACAATTACAAAAAAAAATCAGTCGAAAGAAAATAACACAGAAGGTTTTAAACTTACAGACGCAGGGTAGAGAGACGACTGAACGGGTAGTGAAATTAGAGGATGTGAAATGGAGCCATAGGAAAAAACATGCTTAAAATTGGAAGAAAGTGCGGAATGAAAAAGGGACTTCTGAAAGAGATTGGAAGATGAGTGAAGAAGACGACGCGGTTGAAAATAGGAGCTCTGATGGGTTGAATGCAGAGCAGCTATGCATCGGAGTTTCGAACGCCATCTGTGCATCTTCGCATAGATGTTCCAAATACTCGCTCTGAGGTTTGCAGTGGCTGAGAAGGGGATATACTAGTAGACCGGCCAAATGCATAGATTGGTTCAAAATGGTATAGTCATTTGACCACCAGGTAAACTGTAAACATAGATAAACATTTTAGTGTCACTCACACTAAGTGTCTAGGATTGTTTGTGCTTGTCAGGTGTACAAATTTGATACTCCATTTTGATGTATCCTTAAATTTATTCTCAAAGAAATGTATTTGTTTCCACCACGGAGGGGCAAAACCATGAGACTGTTCGGGTTTTATTATATTCTAATTAGGTAAATTGCCTAAATAGAGCTAAAACATAATAAGTTTTTCAATATAGAACTATATGTTTTTATTTCTTAGTTACAATCATTGGTCATTATCTATTAGTCATTATTTAAGTAAATATTTACAATCAATGAGCATTATTCCTCCTACTAGCTAAAGAAGCGAAAAATTAAAAGAAAACGACATTCAGAAAGATCTTCATAAATCCTAATAATAGTAAACTAAATACTGAAACCAGTGAGACTTTTTCATGTTCTATTTTAGAATATCCAGTAACTCGTAACTGCTTCGCTTCTTTTTCAACCTTACATAAACGCGCCTGGACTTTTTCTAGTTTTTCAACAGCGCCATTATAGAGTTTGTCTGAAATTTGAATCGTGTTTACGATCTTATTTCTTTGAGTATCTAATAAATCCCTTAAAAACCCCTTTCCAAAAATGATCAATAAAGAAAGTACGACACCTATATTTATAAGAGTTTTTACTAAATTATTAGTGTTCAAGCCAAAACTCCCAACAGGTGATTGGGAGGCCAAAGAAATTAAATAATAGTCGTGAGCATCAGCATGTAGGTTCCATATCCACGTAGTAGTATCAGGACCTTTCGCTAAAGTTCTTGAGAAATGCCCTGGACCATTTCATCAAATGAGGTTTTCACCGGATCCCTATCTACCAAAATTTTGCCTTCCGACTCGAGCGAACGAATATTCATAGAGTCTAGGAATTAAAAAAGTTCAAGTCTTACATTGAAAAATGACTTATTTTTAATCATGAAAATTTCACTACTAATTATCTTGCGTCTTTTTCTTATATTCAAATAGTTCAGAATGATTCAGACAACAAGCTTATCTTAAATTATCCTATAATTTTTAGAGTAGAGACAAAACAAATTAGATTCAGATTCTCCTACTTTATCTTTTTTCAAAGTTTAAGATAATATATACAAAAGAATGGAGAGGAAACTGATTTTTAGACTTGCAAAAGAATTATGAAAATTGAAAACAACATGGAGTATTTGATAATAATGTCTTATAAATTACGGAGTAATTAAAAGGGAGTATTGCACAACTAACAAAATAACGAATGAAGAATGCTAGGTTTGGGTCAAATACTAATCCAGTATAGTCTACTTCGGAGTACTCGGTTTATATTTTGGGTCAAACATTAAATATCAAGATATATATCTCCTATATTATATAAATGTGAAAGAGAATTTGGTACCCCTTAATAAGATGCTCTTTTCCCATACGCCGTTAGTTTTCTCCTTTCACTTATATTCCCAATAAATGTCATTTAATGTTATAGTCTTAAACTCACACCAATTCTCATAATAAGAAAAATAGCTCTTTCAAATTGTTCTTTCATTATCTATTTGTGAGATGACTATCCCAAATTCAGCTACTTATAGCATCCTCTATTTGGATTTAATCTTTTTACTTTGACTTTTTCTCATTTTAAAAAATATTTGAAAGAGAATAATTTTGGATATATTTGTCCAAAATACCATTAAAAAAATGTTTAAACATGAAATTTAGAAAGATTAATCTAAAAAAATCTCTTATCACAGACACAATTTTCATCTATACTCATCCCAAAAAAGTTTTTTTTCACCATATCTAGAAAGGAGTTCAATTGTATGTAATTTCTAATGATACAATCTGTATATTATAGTGACATTGGTCATAGCTAATCACTAAAAAATCAAATATAGACATATATCCTTTAACACATACGGAGTAATTCCAACTAGAAAAATAAAGTTTAAGTTGCCATGTGGCAGCCATTCATTTGGCCAAAGTACTCCAAAATATTAGTCCACCCGCGGAGGACTTCTTCTCATGGTGTAAATTACTGTGCAAATATTAAGTATAAGTAATTGAAAGGGCTGTAGGTGGAAACACCTGTAACCCGATTTGTTATTAATGATAATAGGAGCTATTACAAAGTACAAGCCGTGTGGATTAATCAAAACATGCCTCACAAATGAGGCTTTTAGGGGTATTTATACTAATCCTAAGCACGTCAAGCACGTCTCTGATTATCCAGCCGGTCAGTTCACCGACCGGTCCTTTAGTCAGAATTCGAGAATAGAAGCTGCATCTTTGCCTCCCGACCTACCCATTCCGACCGGTCAGACAGCCCAGGTTGAATAGGTTAGGCCGCGTCACATTTGGTACCTCCTAGTCGGTCGGACCTACCGGGCGGTATTCATGGGTTATTACCCATCAAGGAGTCCCCCGATTCCCGGTCCTGTGTGAACCATCAGGGGCGGGAAGCATATGCGACCGTCTTTTCAAATTTGAACTGCCCAGGTAATTTTTGGCGGGAAAATGGTCTCTGCAAGCCGACACCAAAACAAATATTTTTGAATTTTGAATTTTTAAAAAGCCGGTTCACCATTCGTTGATAAGTGGCACCCGAGTTCTTTAGTCCAAAGGCCATTACTCGGTAACAATATATGCCTTCGAGAGTTAAGAAGGAAGTTTTTCCTCATCTTCCTTCGCCATGAAGATCTGATGGTAGCCTTTGAAAGCATCCATGAAGCTCAGCAATTCACATCCAGCTATCTCATCAACTATCTGGTCGGGACTGGGCAGCGGATATGAATCCATGGGGCAAGCCTTGTTGAGATCAGTATAATCGACGCACATACGCCAAGTGTCGCCCTTTGGTGCTAGGACGATGTTTGCCAACCAAGCCGGATACTGAACTTCTCCGATGTGCCCGACTGATAACAAATCCTTCATTTCCTTCTTAACAAAGTCCCTTCGGACATTCGCCAAGTGCCTTTTCTTTTGTTTTACCGGCTGGCTTCCTTCCATCACTGCCAACCGGTGGCATATGACCGAACGGTCAATACCCGGCATATCTGCCACACTCCAAGCAAAGATATCAGCGTACTCCCGAAGGACTGAGATGATTTCCTCTCGAAGTCCTCCAGTCAGATCCCGGCCTATTCTCACCATTCTCTCCGGGAATGCTTCCCAGAGAACAATCTGCTTGGTCTCATCACCCGGCTCCAATTTTGACCGGTTTTCCTCCTAGGAAACCAAAGTAACCCTCTCGAACGCCTTTGTCATCTTTTTTTACAGCCTCAAGATAATAAGACAAGGCTTTCTTCTGATCCCCTCTGACTTGTCCTATACCGCCCGGGGTATAGAACTTTATGCAGAGGTGGGCCATGAAGATGATCCCACAGACTTTGTTTATACCCGGACGGCCCAAGATTGCATTGTGAACACATTTGATGTTCACCACCACAAACCTCATCTACTTCTGGATGACTTTATCTCTCGTGCCCAACTCACAAGTTAAGAGCATTGACCCCTCAGCTTCAACAGAATCCCTAGTGAACCCGGACAGGGGAGTCTTTAAGGGCTCAAGCTGTGTTCGACACAACTTGAGTTTCTCAAAGGCCTCTAAGTACAAAACGGTGACACTGCTGCCCGTGTCAACGAGTACCCGGGAGACATCGACTCAACCCATATATATGGTTATGACTAGGGGGTCATTGTGATCTTCCCCGGTGGAGGGAAGGTCTTGATCTGTGAAAGTGATCAGTTCCCGTCTGGTTTGTTTCCTCCAGGGATCTAGGGCAACTATGCCGACGTAGAGCTCCCGTCCCCACTTCTTTCTTTGGGAAGCAGAATCTCCCCCTTCCGGTCAACCATATATGACTTGTAAGTGTTCCTTACCGCCTGCTTTCTTCTTCCTGCTCTGGTTGGCCGGTTGTGCTTCTGGCCGGTTCCATTGGTTCTTCTTTTGCTTTACCTGAGCTAGATATTCTGGATCAAGCTCTCCGGCCTCAATCATCTGCTTGATTAGCCCCTTTACACCATTGCACTCTACGGTGTTATGGGAGTCAATTTTGTGGAAGGAGCAATACTTCTCGGTCCATTGCTTCTCTCCCGTTGGTTTCTTCTCAGCCTTGGCCGGCTTCACCTGTAGGACTTCTGCTTTTACCCCGCCGGGCTGTTCGATTTCCTTTTTCAAGGAAATCCTTCCCTTGGAATGGCCCTGCTCGGCCTCCCTCTTGGATGACACCTGTGCTTCGACGTCAGCATAATCCCAAGCCGTGTTGTAGGCCTCTTGGTATGATTGGGGAGGCCTCCTGCAAAACTCTTTGTATAATTTTCCGGAACGGAGCCCAGATAGAAGGGACATGACTGTTTTGTCATCCATTTCCTCCACCTTGTCAACTTCATCCTTCCACCGGGTAAGGAACTTGGTAAGATCCTCGTGTTCCCTCTGCCCGGCCGTACTCAAGTAGGTAAACTTTTTCCTCTTGGTACAATTCTCCTTAAACTTCTCCTGGAACACCTCGGCCAGTTCGTCAAAAGAAACAATTTCACCGGGCGGGAGGTTGTGAAACCACTCGGCGGCCCGGCCGCGGAGGGTTTGGAAGAAAAGCAAACACTTTTCGTCCCCAGAAAAGCCCATCATCCTCCCACTCTAGTGGAGGGTTTTGACGTGTATTTTTGGGTCCTCTTTGCCGGTGAATTTCGGGACCTCTAGCTTCGCCTTTTTTGGGAACGGGGTTTCATGGACCCGGTCAGTGAACGGAGATTCGTTCAACAAAATTTTCTTCTTTTCGTCCCGATCTACCCGTTGGTGCAATTTCTCCAAACGTGCTTCTACTCGGCCCACACGGTTCCTGGGTTGTTCAACGTGGGTGCGGACCGTGTGCCTTGGGTGGCTTTCCGCTTCCTCTTCTCCCTGAGGCGCCCGGCTAATCTGGGGCTCATCGCGAGGGGGTGGTTCCGTGCACCTGGTCCGACCAGGTCGCCCGGCCCCTTTCCCCAGACGGTCAAAGGCACTTACCGGGGTCGTTTCCACTCCCAATCGTTCTTTGGCCGGTCGGTTTTGGTTTCTGCCATCGTGTCCCAGCCTTTGAAATGCTGACCTCCTGGATCCTTCAGGCTGGATCGCCTTTCCCTTCAACTTCTTCAGTGCCTGGGGAAGGTCCCAGTCCTCATCTTTACTATGGACCGAGCGCACATCCCCGTCCGACGTTATTTTGGTATGCGATCTTCGGGATCGGCTCTTTCTAGACCGGGATGAACCAACTTTATCCATCTCGCCGATCAGATTTGTCGGGACAACCGGCCGGATGATGTTAGTTTGGGGCAAAGACTGTGGGTATATCCTGGGGATGAAGGGAGAAAATCCTCCCGGCTGTTGAAACATGGACATAAATTGTCCCAAATTCTGGAACAGTTGATGGTTCGGCACTTCCTCCCGGGAATGATGTAACGTTCTCCACGGGAGTAGAGATCTGTGAAATGACCGTTTCCTGATGACTGGCCATAACTTTTTGTAATAGGTCCCATGCGTGGCGCCAATTTTATGGTGTAAATTACCGTGCAAATATTAAGTATAAGTAATTGGAAGGGCTATAGATGGAAACACATGTAACCCGGTTTGTTATTAATGATAATAGGAGCTATTACAAAGTACAAGCCGTGTGGATTAATCAAAGCATGCCTCACAAATGAGGCTTTTAGGGGTATTTATAATACTCCTAAGCACGTCAAGCACGTCTTGTTAGTCGGTTTAGTCGTTGTGCCCATGCCTTAGAGGGGGGGTGAATAAGGCGTTTGAAAACCTTTCGGAGTTTAATAAAAACGGTGTTGGCAAATGTGGAAGCAATATATAAAACGCAAAAATAAAAGCGTAAATAAAATGCACACCGAGTTTATACTAGTTCGGGAACTTCCTACTCCATTACCTCGAGGCTCCTCCTCAAGGATTTCCAAATCCACTAAGTCTCAGTCTCTTGAACTCCGTCAAAGCACCGTACTAGTTTGGCAAACAACCCTTGCCAATAGGATTCACTCCGAGATTTCACCACGACTATCTCGAACTGTTTACAAAGAAGATTTAACAGCTATCTTCTAACGTTCCCCCAAGGATTTCAAAGGCTATCTTTGAACCTTTACCCAAGGATTTATACGGCTATCCTCGACCGATACAATATGAGAATTTAACGGCTATTCTCGACCGTATAAAGATGTGTTTGAAAAACACAAACAAGAGTTCTACACAATGGCTTGAATATAAAAATGAAGAACAAAACTTAGCCGGTGTAGAAGGAAAGTATACTCTCTCAAAAATACAATTCAAACTTATGAATATGAGAGTATATAACTAGAAACACAAGCTCAAAGTGTGTGTATAAAATTCAGGATCTCAAGGCTCTTGAAATAGCCAAAATAATGAAAATAATTAAAAAGGATGAGCACCACTTTGATGTATACATCTACTCCCCCTTTTGTCAAAATCAAAAAGGGCATTTTAAAAATTTTAACCATGTATAACTTCTTGAGACCCTCCCCCTATCAAAATGAATTTTTAGGAAAAATGATAGTTTTGAGATCATTGGGCAAAAGGTGCATTTACAACGAAACTCCCCCTAAAAATGAAAACTCCCCCTAAAATGATGCAAGATTAAAAACTTTAATTTTTAGGGATTTTTGGGGATTATTTTTTAAAATGCATGATTTAAAGATGAATTTTTTTAAAAAACTTTGATCATGCAAACCAAGGCTAAAGCAAGTTAGAGCATATATGGGATAAGTTTTTATTCTTGAAAAATATTGAAAACAAAAATTCTTATCCCAATAAAAAAAACTTACCTTGGCTTATGTCGTTCTTTCTTCGACTTGGAATATAGTTTTTTCTCTTTTGATTTTCTCCTTCTTGAGTCTTCAAAAAATTTCCATTGGAGAAAACTCTTGTATTTCTTCCTTATTTCTCTTTCTTCGTCTTCTTCATCACTTGACGAATTAGAGTCACTGGATGTTTCATCCGTTTCACTTGACTCATCATTTGAGTCACTTGAGTCATCACTAGACTCTTCTTTGGATGCCTTGAACGCATTGGTTCGTTTTGGGTCTCCTCTCAAATATTCTTCTTTTATCTTAATCATCAAAAGCTCGTGAGAATACAAGGAAGACCAAATGTGAGCAGTGCTTTCCGTTGCACATTTGGATAAAAGATCTACTATGCTATTATGCCATTCTTTTGGCAAATAAAGTAAAATTTTAGTATTTAATTCACTTGTAGAATATTCCTTACCCAACTTACCCAATTTGTTGATTATTTCATTGAACCTTCTATTGGCATCTTGGATTGACTCGTGTTGGCCAATTTTGAAACTTTCATACTCCGAGTTTCTGAGGGCCAACATGGTTTGCTTCGTAGAGGTGTGGCCTTCATGCGTGGCTTGAAGAAAATCACATACCTCCTTGGCCGTTTTGCACGAGCACACACGTGCAAACTCATCGGGTCCAAGGGAGCAATGAAGGATGTTCATTGCTTTTGCGCTCATTGACAATTTTCTCTTGTCCTCCGAGGAAAGTCCTGCAAAATCACTGTTTCTCGGCACAAATGGCCCGTGAAGTACATTCAACCATAAATAAAAATCAATGGATTGAATAAAGTATTCCATCCGCATTTTCCAATAAGAATAGTTTTGACCGTTGTAAAACGGAGGGCGGTGAATGCTTTGGGATTCTATTGTGGAGGCCATTTTTTTAAAATTTGAATTTTAAAAATCAGAGATAAGAAACTTTTAAGATAAAAAAAATCAAATTTAAAAAGGGCACAACGAGTAGATCTTTGTCGTCTATGCAGTTAAGCACTTTCAATTACGAAACCGCTCTCATAACAATTGTTAGTCGGTTTAGTCGTTGTGCCCACGCCTTAGAGGGGGGTGAATACGGCGTTTGAAAACTTTTCGGAGTTTAATAAAAATGGTGTTGGCAAATGCGGAAGCAATATATAAAACGCAAAAATAAAAGCTGTAAATAAAATGCACACCGAATTTATACTGGTTCGGAAACTCCCTACTCCAGTACCTCGAGGCTCCTCCTCAAGGATTTCCAAATCCACTAAGTCTCGATCTCTTGAACTCCGTCAAAGCACCGTACTAGTTTGGAAAACAACCCTTGCCAATAGGATTCACTCCGAGATTTCACCACGGCTATCTCGAACCGTTTACAAAGAAGATTTAACGGCTATCTTATACCGTTCCCCAAAGGATTTCAAAGGCTATCCTTGAACCTTTACCCAAGGATTTATATGGCTATCCTAGACCGATACAATATGAGAATTTAACGGCTATTCTCGACCGTATAAAGATGTGTTTGAAGAACACAAACAAGAGTTCTACACAACGGCTTGAATATAAAAATGAAGTACAAAACTTAGCCGGTGTAGAAGGAAAGTATACTCTCTCAAAAATACAATTCAAACTTATGAATATGAGAGTATATAACTAGAAACACAAGCTCAAAGTGTGTGTATAAAATTCAGGATCTCAAGGCTCTTGAAATAGCCAAAATAATGAAAATAATGAAAAAGGATGAGCACACTTAAAATATAAAGGGAGGATGTTTGGATCTTTTTTTCTTGTTGAAATATGAAGTATTAGGCCTATGTTTATAGTGGAAGATGTTAATTAGCCGTTACGAGGTGATTAGAGTTGAATTAATTCAAAAACCAGCAATCAGGAATAGTGTTCCAACGGTAACGGTACCCTGTCACGGTAGCTAGGTACCTTCTCAGACCAAAACTCTTTGGCGGTACCTATCTCTTACAGTACCCATTACGGTAGGAGGGTCCCGTTCATACGGTAGAAGGAGTCCCGTGCTGACTTCTCAGATTAACTCACAGTACTCCTTACGGTACCCCTCACGGTACCTAGGTACCTTATGACCATTTTGACAATTTTTTCATTTTTGCCCAAATCATTTCCAATTTTGTTTAAAACCTTTTGGATGTTTGAAATGATTATAAAATGGTTTTAAACATATTTTGTGAGTGTTTTTGAGCTTGTGAATATAAGTATATAAAATCATATCCTTACATCGGTTTCTACCTAAATTCTACTCTAGTTTAGTGTTTCGACTTCATTCTTGAGAACCGAATCTTAATGGATTCTTGTTGTACCTGAAACACTTAAACAAACGTCAAGCTCTTATATTGTTTGTTAACATCAAAACATGAGGCTTAGCAAACCAAGGCTAACACGTCTCTGATTATCCAGCCGGTCAGTTCACCGACCGGTCCTTTAGTTAGACTTCGAGAATAGAAGCTGCATCTTTGCCTCCCGACCTACCCATTCCGACCAGTCAGAAAGCCCGGGTTGAATAGGTCAGGCGGCGTCACATTTGGTACCTCCTAGTCGGTCGGACCTACCGGGCGGTATCCATGGGTTATTACCCATCACCTCTTTTGTATTGAATTTCGTGCGGACTACTACAACACCGTGTCCTTCTCCTTCCAATGGAGCACTTCTCTACGCAATACTCTTACACACCGCCCAACTCCTCGATCGAATGCAGATGGCCTTAAGGATAAACTTGTCACTTTTTGACAAATGAGCAGAATATAGAAAAAATAGAATGAATTTAGTAACACCCACTTTATTGTCACTTTTTGACAAATGAGCAGAATATAGAAAAAATAGAATGAATTTAGTAACACCCACTTTATTACTCCATCCGTCCGGAAATATTCTTCACACTTTCCTTTTTGGTCCGTCCGGAAATATTCTTCCCATTTCCTTTTTTTGTATGCTTTTTAAGGATAAATTTCAATAAGACCCTTCTATTTTATCATTAATCTACTTTTTAGTACTTTTTTAATAATAAAAGGAGATTTAAAAGTTTATAATATGTGCATTTTTAAAAATTTTGCATTTTTTACTATTTCTTAATAAGCGTGCCAAGTCAACACGGGAAGAATATTTCCGGACGGAGGGAGTATAAACAATTTAAATTTTAAAATAAGATTTATTCAAATCAAACAAAATCTAATTAAATAAAATAAAATGAGATAAGATCAAATTTAATTAAATCAGATTAGATCATATGTAAATCAAATTTAATTAAATCAGATTAGATCATATGTAATCAAATCATATCAGATATAATGATTAAAAATGCTAAATGAACAAAGCCCTTGATCAAAACCTCCGCTTCCGTAATTCCGTTCCTATTCCAAATTTCGAACCTGGTTTGCCCACCAAATTGGGCAAATTATACCGTACAACCGGCTATACCCAAAATTGGGTAAACCGGTAAATCAAAGAAGAAAAGGCATCGATCGGAGGAGAAAAGAGGTGCTCGTAGTCGGGTCGGGTCAGAGGAAGGAAGCTGCGCCAAAGGAGAGCTGCGCCAGATCGGGAGGAAGAAAGCGATTCTATAGAAGGGAGATGTGCACGGTCGATAGAGGAAGCTGTTGATAGGCCGGAGGAGAGATGGGAGACGATTGATCTGAATCGGAGGAGAAACCCTAAACCTGGAGGAGTCGATAGATCTTGATTGGAGGAAAGGGGTTGCAGGTCTGGTGAGAGAAAAGAAAAATATTTATGGTATGAATTTTATTTTATTTGAGAATGAACATTAAGTTTTTTAAGAATGAGTACTATTTTATTTCAGAATGTACAACACGTTTTTGTAGATAAATTTTATAATTGTATTGAATAAATTTGTGAATATTAATACTACATTATTTAAGAATGAGTACTATATTTTTTAGAATGAGTACCACATTATAGTTATATTTGTACTAGTACTTCACTTCACTTCCGGTGTTGTCCGATATAGGAATGCCAAAGCCCCTCATAAACCCTCTATATTCTATGGTTCCTTTCCTCTAATCCATCAATGGCTACACTGAGATACCTCATCTCCAGAGCCGCTTCAAAGAACCTCTCTCCCTCCCTGCATTTCCAGACCCGGTTCTTAACAACTCTAAGCCAATTCACCTCCCCGCATCATCGGAATCCCAGGAGCTCTTCATCCGCCAGGAGTTACAGTCAGGACTCTGATCAGTCTATTGCCGCCTCTTTAAATGTCGATCACCGCATCCCAGCTACCATTATTACTGGATTTCTAGGCTCCGGAAAGGTATTGTTGTGGCGGTTCAGTTTATTTCTAGAAGGGTGATTGCATTTTGTCACAAAAAAGATGTGTCGTTTTTTTGTATCTTGAGACAAGCAATTCAGCAGTTTTATGCACCTTGGTCTAAATTTTAAGTTCAAATTTTTTTCAATATCTAATATATTATATGTGAGATTGTCAAAAAGACAAAGGGAACTATTCATAAGTTTAGTGAATTTAGTTACTCCGGATATAGTTGTCCGCTTTCTTGTTTGATTTTGTCTGGAATTAGTTGTTCACTTTCCATTTTTCATAAATCTATGATGATAAACTCTCTAAAGTATCCTAAGGATAGATTATGAACATTGTTGACATGAATGATTGACAAACTTTTTTGAAAGATTTAGTTGACATTTTTGACTCTTTTCATAAAAATGAGATTTTTTAGAAAGTGAAAAACTAAATCCAGCAGGGAGTACTAATATTGCAGTACGCGTCTTTAACAGTAGTTTCAACTTTAGTACACATTAAATATGGAGTATATATTTTTTGTTTGTGTAGTTGCTGATGATTAATATCAATGGAGATATTGTGGATATGGACATTCTTCTTTTGTGTAGGGAGTAGAGCACTCTGACATTATTTTTGTAAGAGTAAATTTCATAAATGGTTTCTAATTACTGTTGGTTTTACATATTTAGTCCCCAATTCTAAGATATTACATAATGGTCCTCAATTTTAAAAATTAGTCCTTATTCGGTCTTTAAGGGACTATGTGGAAATAATATTTTGTCATATTTGACCTAAAGGACTATTTATGAAATAGTTTTCAAAAATTGAAGACCAGTTATGTAATATCTTAGATTTGAGGACTAAACATGAAAAACCACTTGTAACTAGGGACTATTTATAGAATTTACACTTTATGTAGTATTCATGTATCATACGCCTTCTTCCATTTCTACTAACTGGATTTGGATTCCCTTACAGACAACGCTTCTGAATTATATTTTGGCATCTCAACATGGGAGACGAATTGCTGTGATTGAGAATGAGGTATTTCATATCAATTGAGCTGTAGGTGCTGGTGTGCTAAGTTCCTTATAATGATTAATATTAAGTTGAATTAAAATGCTCTAACATAATTACATGCTATGATATAATTTTACAGGACTAAAATGTGCCTCAAAAGGTTCTTATTTAATATCATGTCAATATGCTACATTTGCAGTTAGCTCTTACTACTGTAAATCAACTTCCCCCTTAATATCATATTGTCCAACTAAAATATAAATCAACATTAGTTGGAATTAATAAAGTGAATCAACTTCCCCCTTAATTGATGCTTCACCCAATTATGTGCTTGGTGCATCTACTTCAACTCAAGTCGAAGTGTTCAAGCACATCTTCCTTAATGAATCTACGAAGCAAATCTTGGTACCCAATGCCTTTTGGGTCCAGGGATGTTATGGCAATAGTAAAAATCATATGAACGATGCATCACATTATCTTGACTTAGAAGCAAGTGCCTATACTTAGTGTAACAAACTAGTGTGATGTGTCCTACTTTATTACAATAATGACACCTAACACTAGGGTTGTTCATGTTTCTAGGACGTGTGATGTGCTTTCTAGGTTGTCTATCAAACTTAGAATTCCTAGAATGACTTAGTTTATTTCTAGGTGATCTATAGTATTTAATCCTAGAGGTAGATTTTAGTCTAAATTCATTTTCAACTTTCTTCATAGCTAATTTCAAATCGTCTACCTCTTTCTTAAGCGCTTCTATCTCAAGACTAGAAGACTTACATGAAGAACAAGGTGAAT